GGCATCTCAGTTTTAGTCACTTTCCCACTGCCTTGATGTAACTTCCTTGTGACTTTCTATAAATACTTTCATGGTAATTGTTCTGATGAACCTTCTGCTATGATATAATATTGTAATCATTGTAAATATTAATTGGGTTTTCATTTTGAAAAGTTATTTTTATTCCACCCCTCACAAACAAATTGTACATATGGGAAACTAGTTATGACTTCATAGACACTTTGATGTATTATAGTAGCTGTAATAAGAATGGTAAGTAAGAATGTGTTTTGTCATAAGGAATACTTGTTAGTATGTTTGTGTCAGGAATCATGGTTGTCTAAGTTTAAGATGAGACAGATTGAAGATCAGCCTTCCCCTATCCCCTGTTTTAGCCTTTTGCAAACATCTTTATATTTTTTTCAAATATTACTTTCTGCTATGGGATCTAGACTCTATGAATTTAAGTGCAGTACTAGTTTGGCAAAAAGATCTCATCAATTTATAGTTGAATCGGCTATATCCAACCATAAGTTCTATGCTAACCGTTTCTTCTCTTGCACTTCTCGCTTGTGTAATTCTCTCTTTGGATTTTATTCTTTAAAGCTTCTATTTCAGTTTTAAATCTTAGAGTGCATGTGATCTGAGAACAAAATGTTAGAAGGAAAATTTTGTTGATTTCTAAACTCCTGCTAGCACAATTTCTATTTAATTTGTGCTAATACCCTTAACAAAGATGTGAATCTGCTTCTATCCCTAGCTATGGCTACATAGTGAGGCTGTTTTGTAACATTTATCTCTGAAAATCAGTTCATCTTGGGGATTGGGTTAACACTCTTGCCCTGTGAAAATTCCCTTGCTACTGAAACTGCAGCAGCATTATTTGGGATGGTTGCAGCCCTCTGGACCATGTGTGATAGCAATATTGTAAGTATGGACGAATGGTAGACTTATAGATATGTAAGATAGATTCTGGAGAGAAAAATTGTCTTGCATGACACAGTGAACCAACTTTTTCTTGGCAGCTGACCAAGCAATGGATTCAATATAGTCTTTCTACTTCATGTTAGCTGAGAAGGTTAGTCCAAGAAGGTTCAACAAGTTACTTTCTTGGAGGTTAAGTGTGAAAATCACTATTGTAATGTTAGAACTTGAAAGTGGAATTTGTTTGTGCAAGTTTTGACTCAACATGTACAGTGTGCATTGAAAGTTAAAAAAAAAAAAAAAAAAAAGAAGGGATTTTCAGGAATTGATGAAAGTATAAATGACAAAATAAAGCAATTATAGAAATACTTTGTATAAAAGTTGATTGTCAATGATTTTATTAAAGGGTGTCATTAAGTATTGGGAATAAAGGTGTCTGTGGTCATGAATTAATACAAATATTATTAAAAGAATAAGGCTATTAGATATAGAATGTAAATACATTTTTAATGCTTTACAATAGAAATACATTGTAAGGAAGAGAATGATTATGTGAATATGTAGAATGTAAATACATTGCAGCTGTTTTCTTAGGAAAGAAAAACTTGAAAGATTGTCAGCATTCAGGAATGAATGCAAGCTTTACTCCCAAAATAGAGCCATTGTATGTTTTAATGACATAATTAGGAAGTAGTGAAATGGTTATTGGTGTTTGAAAACAATCTGCACAAATTTCAGGTGTGACCACTTTTTGTTAGGACACTTGTCACTATTCTCCTCAGTAAAGTATAAAATCATTGATATTTTTGTCTGAAAATGTAAATTTAAAAAAAAAAAAAAAAAAAAAACTGAAAAAATATTTGGATGGAATTCTGTTTTTGATTTTATAAAATACAAATTAAATATTAGATTAAAAAAATCTCTAATTCTATTGACTCTGTCATAATTTCATTTTATCTTCATATAAAAAATGACTTGTTCTAACTCTTGCCTTTTTAACTGCAAAACTGAACGTCTTCCTATAAAGTAGCAGTTATAAAAATCTAATTAATAAAGCTAAATTAATCTCTTCTAAAACAATTAAGTAATAATTAACACTCCTCAAAACTGGTTCTCCAAATTAAGTTGTTGATGAACAAATAACGTTTTAAGAACGGTTAACAGTGCTGAACATAGGAACAATTTTACCATTCAACATATTTTATTGTAATTGGAGGCACTCAAACTACAAACAAGACAAAATACTTAAAAAAAAATATAATCAATAATTACATAAAACTCACAGATAGTAATAAACATCTGATTTATTATTTATTGTAAAAAGATTAAAACTTAATTGAGTATTTACTAATAAAACTTCATTAAAATCAAATCTGCTAAGATGAATGTTAACAAATTCACTTATCAGAGATTCTCTTTGAAAAATAATTTAAAAAATCATAGGATATACAACTGCAACTTTTCTTGTTGACTCACTTGTCATAATTTCAGTCAAAGTCCTATGCACCAACATGATACAGAAATATAAAAACTACAATAAAATAGCTCATTGTAAATAACAGTGATACTCAGTAAAACAAAATGCAACCAATGATTACAAATTTTTAAAGCAGTCCATTTTAAATCCAAAACAACCAAGAATCAACAAAATCACTAATGCTTTTAGAATCCTGATCAATGAATCCCATAACCCCTGAGGATCATAGGAACACCACATGTCCAGCAGCCATAGCAGCATTAGTGTGTCTTGGGCAAGATAGACTGGTTTGAATTCAGTTTTCCTATTCCTAGACTGGAGACCAACCAAAAACTATCCAGCTATTTATCCATAGCTAGTGGAGAAGAAATGAAATTCATACTTTTCCTAAGGTTATTTGCACGTAAACACATGTAATAAACCCGACTGGAATTCAAACTCTGCTCTCTGATTTCTCATCCTGAGCTTTTTATTTATTTATATTTTATTTTATTTTTTACATCGATATTCACTCTCTATTGAGAGCCTTTCAGGGTAGAGAGTTACAGAGTAAGAGGCACATTTTATGTGGATATGTGGGGGAGATGACGGTTAACCCTTGACTTGAACATGTTAAGTTTCTATTTATCAGGGAATCATCCTCTTGGGAGTCAGTTCCCCAAAGCAGCAGTTTGTGAGAATCAGCTGTTCAAGTGGAACTTGCATGTTACCAATGGAATATCAAGGGAATGAGGTTAGTTTGCAACAATGTGTGTAGCATGGCAGGTCTTAGCCATGAAGGTTGGAATTGGTGGAACTAAAGAATGTAGTTTGTCTGAACATTTTCCATAGAAATAATGATAGAGCAGTGACAGGCTTGCAACATTTTATCCTTGAGAAAGGAGTTGTAGGGTGGGAAATAATTTGTCACCCACAAGGACCCAGAGATGATTTTGGACTCTATTGAGACAGGAAAGTGAAGACTGAGCAGCTCCTGTCCATATATAGCAACAATACTCCATTTTTTTTTTTAATTTTTTTTTGTCAGATCTGACTCTTGTAGAGGATAGTAGGTGGATTGAGACATAGGGCCTCGGTGAGAGAACGTCCATTCATTGTGATTAGTGAAAGTTCTATGTCTGGACATTTATATTTCTTTCAGAATAGACATTCTAAAATGCATTAAAATTTTCCAAATCAACATTGTCACATTTACAGTTTGAAATCTCTAAAATAACCTGTCCATGTGTCATGACAAACATTCAAGATTAAAAAAATTCAAGATTAGTCCCGAGATGTAGGCTGAATTTGAATTAAATTTTTAATTCTTGATAATGACTGAAGACACTTGAAAGCTGAAAATGTTATCAAACTAATATGAACTATGAACCATTCTTATACATTTTCACATCTTGATATGAAAATTACTCTGTTAGCAAAAAGAATAATACTTTGGCATACTTTGTCGGTTATTATCAACAAAATTTATCTGAATGAATAAAGATGTGTTTGTGTGTGTGTAATAATTATGGATAAAATAGGTCACTTAAATTTAAATCTGTACTCTTTCATGCATTACAGTTCATATTTAGCTCCATGTAACCTTCTGGCTTTTCTTAAAACTAAAATTGCCACCTAAATTCTAGGGGCAAGATTAAGGAGAATCTGATCAGGCAGTTGGTTGTCATCTTGAAAAAGATGACTTTGCAGGCTGTTTTGAAAGATGGAAGGGACACTGGGATAAATGTGTCATCTTAAGAGAAGTATTTTAAATGGGACTAATGCCCTGTTATAAGGCACAGGCTCGGTCAGTAGCATCTTACTCTTCACTGAGTACCCCCAAGGATAGTGTCTGTAAGATATGCATGTTGAATATCTTGATATACAGTTAACCATTCCTGATATAATTTATTAACCAATCAGAGAAGTCCTTATTCTGCATATCAAAGTAATATTTCCTCTGATTGGTTGATAAATTATATCAGGAATGGTTAATTGTATATAAAGATATTCAAAATGGATATCTTACAGACATACTTTGTTTATTATTGGTCTCATTAAAACAAGGATTATCTGAAGTTGTGAAAGTGTAAACAATTTTTAAGATTCACGTTTGGAAAAAGGAATTTTTTTTTTATACAGATGCCTTATTGAGTGTTAATACTACTAAAATGTGAAAGATAATTGTACTTTCTATAAATGAGCCGCTAACTCTCAGATTGGAGATGATTGGGTTTATGCAATAAACTACGAGATAAGTATGAATCAAAATGACATGTCTTTTGGGATTCGTATAGATCCTTCCTCATCCACTATATTTGTCTTTTATTTCAAACTTTGTTTTTGTATTGAGCAAAGTCCAAACCATTGCCACCATTTAATGATATCCGTCTCGGTCTGTTCATGTCCGTCCGTCCGTCTCGGTCTGTTCATGTCCGTCCGTCTGTCTATCTATCTAATTTTTATACAAATACTTGTTAGCTTCTTTTTTTTGTCTCCCTGGAGCAAATTAAATTAAAAAAATGTTCACTTTTTTCCCATTATAACTTGTTTGTCTGGGGGTGGGAGGATATCAAATAGATTTTAAAGCAAAGTAATTGACTTATTTATTTAAAGAAGATGCTCTTTGTTTACATTTTAGGAAGATGATGTAACTTTTCAGGTAAGAAAAATTCTTTTAATATTATAATCTTACCCTTTTGGTAACATCTAAGTGATTGGTACATTTCTGTTGCTAAGCTTTTAATATTTGCCCATTTTTATTCAGCTTTTTAATTCTTAGAATTTATATGAAGAGTTTTGTGTTTTAATTTTGGCTTCAGAACTAAAATCCTTCATTTATTCAAATAACATTCAAATAAGTATTAATTGCTTGGCGTTTTTTACTTTTTTTTGCTATTTCTATAATCCTAAAAAAAACTATAATTATAATAAAATAAGTCTGTATAATAGTTACCTTATTTCTAAGCACTAAAATAAAATGTTACTTTCATGTTTACTTTGTTTCACATCCTATTTTCGTTCTATAATTCCTCGTTCTGCTATGGTTTTTGTTTCATTAAAACTGTTTTAATGTGGATAATTGATTCAAAAATTAAAAATGCGTATCACATTTTCTACACTTTTGATAACAGGGTAGAAAGGAAGTGATGAATTCAAATCTCTGCCAAATTCTATATTAAATTGTAACAAGACAACCTTAGTAAAGAGAAAAAAAAAAAAAAAAGATAAAGAGGATTAACTTTTTAAGCCAAATTAATTAGGCACTTAATCTCTACTTTTTTCTTCAAATTTCTTAAGCCAACTACAGCAGCGAACTACCCAGATCAAAACTAAAAGAAATCTTCACTCCCAAGAGAATGAGATTTGAAACAGGCCTCCAGTTTGGGGCTAGAGATACATTATGGCATGACTGTTTGTATGATTAATTATTAATAATTATTTTTGAATTATTTACTTTTACTTTTTTGGTTGCTATTATTTTTTGCTCTTGCAACTTATACTGTGACCACCAATCTACAGCAATGTATAGAGAATGCATGATTCTTTGGTAAGGATTAAGTTCCACTCACAGATTCTTCACCAGAACTGTTACTTTGTGGAGCATTCCCAAGAGGGGATGACCACTACAATCTTAACTTCTTTGAGTCCAGGGTCAACTGATATTTATCTTACATATTCTCATAATATGAACTTCTTACCACTTCCTTCCTCTTGCTTTACAACAATTTTACTCAGTAAACCTCTACTTTGAGTGGCTCTTGAGCTTTCTATTGGTCAAAGTAAAGTTAAAAAAACTGCGATTAGAAAGAAAGGCTAACCTCCTGGCGAGATTTGAACTTTGGTCCCTTTTGCCCTCCAGAAATCAGTTGTAAACATGAAAACTTGACAGATTAACAGATCAGATCTAACGTATAAACCCTTCATCTCTTTTTTTTATTTTTTATTTTTTATTTTTTTTGTTAGAAACTTCAGCACCATTTCCTTATTACTTTATTACTGATCTTGATTTGATATCTCTGCTCATTGCTGGAGATTGGCAGTGTGGGTTAAAGTGGCAATAAAAAGAAAAAAAAAACATTGGAGGAAAGTAAATACTTGTTAAAAACTAATAATGGTCACTATTGTTTTAAGTTGTTAAATAGCTCAAATGTATATTTACTACCCAGCACAAAGATTGAACTGAGACAGCCTTCAGCTAATGTGTTAACTCGTGCTTTAATAAGTTAACCTGTTCCACCTGCAGTTGAAATGGGTTCTGTCCATTTAAGTTCTATATAAACATATGGTTTTTCTGCTGGGGAACACTATATCTATTTGCCACTTGTCTGTACTTTCCCCTATGTAAGAAAGGTAAGAAGGTGATCATGACAGGGACACAAATCTCAGACCGATAAAGTTGATTGTCTTCTATCAGGATACTTGATGTTGGCAAAAGTCTGATTGCTATCAATTGGTTCAACTTTAGCTGCTAAAGGGTCACTCTTGTTAGTATGGGCAAATTGTCTTAGAAGTATTATGTATATATTGGGATTATTGTTTTATTAAAAATTATATCTCAAAAAACTTTTTTAAAATTTCGTTTTGCAAAACATTATATTTGGCAGTTAAAATAACTGGGATTAGCATATGAACATAAAATATTTGTATCTATTAATAAATATATTTTTATTTTATTTTTGAGTAGTGGATCATCAATTATTTAATTAAAGGAAGCTTACTTAATCTTATTTAAAAAAAAAAATAGTCATATTAAAAATTAAATGGCACTTATTAACAATTAATTATAATGTAGCCATCAGTTCATTTGTTATGTTTAATAACCCTGATTTATTTGAAGTGTTTTAAGATAATTATTCTCACAATCAAACATATGTTAGATTTATTCCCTTTACTGTTATATGATTTAACCCTTGTTTATAATACAGGTGTTAATTGAAGAGGAGTTGCCCGGATCTTTCAATTGCCAGAAATAATTAAAGAAAACAGTTATACTTCTGATTTTAATATTAGCCGAAGTCATTTGGTGATGGTAGAAGCAAAACATCCAAGAATTTTCACTAGAACCAAAATAAAGTCTAGCACCAGTACTGTAACATATGCTTGTTTCGATATATGATATTATCAGTCATACAGATTGTGTGTGTGTGTGTATATATATATATATATATATATATATATATATATATATATATATATATAATTTCTTTGGTTATGTGGATAATCCAAAGGAGTTACTAAAAATGAATATCCAGGTAAAACTCCTCGTAGAAAGCTCAGTGTATGAGAATAATAATGAATCATATTTAGCAATATAATTATGAAAAATTTCAAGGAAAAACCTTACATTTGAATTTTTCCATTATAGACTTAACTTTATTTCAACAGTTAGTTTACACTGCATTTTCAGACTGGTTTAAAAGCACCAAACACAGGAAATAAATTGACTTAAGAAAAACGAAAGACAGAAAATAAGAAAAGAAAGAAAGAAAAGAAAATTTGTAGAAGTAGGAGGCAATAAATAAGAGGAACAGGTAAAAATGAAGAGAGAACGAAGAGGAAGATATCTTGTTGGATGAAGGGGCGTGAGTTTTTAACAAAACTTTTCCAAACATCTCTTTTGTCTAATGCCATGAGAGAAATATATGATCCGATTTCGAATTCCAATCATTAAATTCACTTGTATGCTATTATCTTTGGGAAAGGTATAACTCTTATTCTTCACCTCCCAACTATGAGCAAATAGCAGGACAGACTGGGTTCTATAGCCTTGGTCATTGATCTAGAAGGACAACCCAAAACCTGGGGAGCAAGATTTGGGGACATTGTGGCATGCTGTGTGCCAGTTCTCTGTATCTTGCTCTTCAAAAAAGTCTGGTCACTTCTGCACAATCCTTCACCATTATAATGAAATGATATTTACAGGCAGTCTGGCTGTTTGGTTCTAATTCCCTTACATATCGAAAAGGGTGGGAGTGTTCATTTTTATATATATATATATATATATATATATATATATATATGAGGTGGCACAGTGGAGTAATGGATTGAGGAATCAGAGGGCCCAAGTTTGAATTCCTTGGGAAAAGTATGAATCCTCTTCTGCCTCTATCTATGGGTAAACTGGGTTCTATAGCCTTGGATGGCAACTGGTCTAGGAGAAGGACAGCTCTGAATTCAAAATCTGTTGGTGGTCGTTTGGGGACCTTGTGGCACGTAGCGCACCAGGTCTCCATATTTGGCCCTTCAAAAAGTGTGGTTGGTTCTGCACAAAGCCTTCACCATTATAATCAAATCATGTGCTGGTGTCTGGCTGTTGGTTCCTAGGAACTGAGCCGCTTGACCCTCATATTTTGATAAATGACGGGAGCGTCCAGAACATACACACACACGCACACACACACATATATATGCTTGTACATATATACATGCACACAGACAGTGGAGGGCTTTCTTGACTAAGGTCAATGGCCATGTGTCTATGACCAAGGTGAACCTTCAAGCTGAAGAATATTGGCTGTACATGAAAGAATACTCAGTATCTGTCTATATTTCTGAGATGCGGTATTATGTACATTATCTTTGTCGCCATATTCCTGTGCAGCTGCGGAAAGAACTATAAGGGGGAGACAGGCCGCCCCCTTAAGTTAAGGCTTCAAGAACAACAGAAAGCTGTAACATGAGGGGAAGTGGAAAAATCAGTCGTGACTGACTACATATGGAGAGAGAAGGGAGATCACCGCCCTCTGTGCGATCAGCTTGAGATCATAGACAAAGAACACCATTGGAAAATTCGTAAACTTAAGGAATCAGCACGTATGCTAGGCTACAAAAATCTCCTGAGCTGACCAAGCATAGAAATGAATACAATATGGGAACCAGTATTAAAGAGTGCCAGAGAAAAGCGATAATAACAAAAATTGCAATATGAGCTCTGGTAAAAAAATGCAATAATAACAGCAAAAATTGCAATATGAGCACTGGTAAAAAATGCTTGCTGAACACATTAGGTTTATAATACACAGAAATTCATACACAGATGTCCTCAAGGACACTTACACAGTGGATAAAGGCATTGGTTAGATCCAGTGACAGGACCCAAAGAGTGTGAATTCAATATACGGAGAACTTTCAGAGGGAAAATTAACAGGACATAACTGATAAGTGGCATCCATTAAAATATGCCATGTGGAACTAGTACAGTCTACCCCAGTGAGCGAAATAAAGGGTTCACTTCGACATTTCAACAACCAGAAGAAGGCTGGAGCATACAACGGCCGAAACGTTGTAATAAATATGGCGACAAAGATGAGGACAATTGTCCGAATAATGGAAAGAATACTCATCTTGCTTTCAACCCAGATATAATTGTGGGAACTGGCCAGGTGCTTATTGGTGCATCCACACTACACCACACCTGGTTATTTGACTGATGAGAATTGAAATTATTAACTGATTTTATATTTTTTTGCCTTGATAATTGATATGCAGCTTTTTAGGAATTTGGTTATCAGAATTCTAAACAGTTATCTGATACATTATCATAATTCCTTAAAATTTTTCCCTGCAGACGATTGCAGAATTATTTTATTTGTTTTGGGTTTAAAATTCCTAAAACCTAATCTTTTAATTACTATTTTGGCTGATCAACCCCTCCCCTCA